TCTCTCTCTCTCTCTCTCTCTCTCTCTCTCTCTCTCTCTCTCTCTCTCTCTCTCTCTCTCTCTCTCTCCTGAGCCACGTGGCTGACTGATACACACCTGTCAGTCCTATTGCAAAAAACATCACAAGTTCAAGTCCTGACAGATGAAATATTGTTATTGCTATTTACCTTTCTAAGTAAACAAAGGTAACACTTCACGCTTTCCTCTCAGCACCAACAACAACTAATGGAGAAAAGCTGCCATGGGATTCCCTCTCCATAGAGTGGAGAATAGGGTTCTGCGTCGAGTGCTCCTGCTCACCTTCATCAGAACTCTGCACGTCTCCATCACCATTTTGGAAGGTAGAGAGAGGCTCCTCCTGACGAGACATCCAAGCAATAAAGGCATGTCATTTCCAAGTCAGTTTCTGTTCGCCTTCAATTGGCATGGGGGTCGTAAATATTTGAGCCAATACTTTCTTTTTTTATTTTTTTTATTTTTCCCCACCAACACCAGCCCCTTCTATTCTGGGGGTCATCAGTCTGGTTGCTTATCACCGCCAAGCACTGTTTTTGATACAATTTGAAACAAGCAAGGGGGCAGAACAGAGAGAGAAGAGAGGCAGCCAGCCCTTGTGGCTCGGGCCGCCTATTCGAGGGGGGGTTGCCACAGTTCCAACCACTCCAGTCTTTGGCCTTTCCTTGGAGATTGTCCTGCAAGTCGGGAAGCTTACTAGCAGCACCCATTCACACTGCAGGATAAGGTCCAAGGGGTCAAGGCACAGGGGAGAGGAATGCCCTGCCAGCCCCTCTGGCCGCATGTGACTTTCTCAAGTCATTGCCAACCTTATTGCCTAGGCTCTACCTTCCCTCTACCTCACTTTCCCACCACATCTACATTGTTGAGACGTTCATGTCTTAACCGTCCACCATCTCCTGCCTTCCAATTTCCTTGCCCTTATTCCTTACCTCCAACTCCTCTCCCTGAGTCCTTCTACTTACCCTAGTCAATTCTTATTTACCTTTCCCTTGTCTTTTTCTTTTTTTCGACAGGGGTCTTACATCTTTGATGGACGAGCTTCCACATGAAAATCTAGAGGTTCTACTGCATTGACCACTCTGGTGACCAGCTAGCCCTGGCGATTCAAATGTTTCACCTGCAGCCTTCCCTGCTCATGGAACTTTCAAGGGTGCCAGATGGCCCAGCAGACCAGCGAAGGGCATGCGAAAACTCCGATCAAGCCTCAAAGTAAACAATCTACCACAAGCTACGTGACCCCCACGGCCGCGGATCCGGCCGAGGAAACCGGCCCCGACCCTCGGCCGTGCCATGCACAGGCGAAGCTGCGCGCCCAAAATCGGGGCGCGCGCATCGCCTGCGCATGGCGTCCCCCACCATAATCATCTAAAAAAAAAAAAAAGTGACATTTTGGAGGGGGTCATTTTCAAGTGAGAAAAAAAATAAAATAATAATCCCCAGCAAAGATAACCATTTTTTTTTTTTG